CAGCCAATCGATGTGTTTCTGTCGGTTCATTATTTATCTCTGTCTTTCCCTCTCTCTTCCACTCTCTCTAAAAATCAATGGGAAAATATCCTCGGGTGAGGATTAAAATAGAAATTCTATTTTGTTTTAATTATTTTTATTTTAAAAATAAGCCATGGAAATTGGGAATCCATAAAAACAAAGACTCCCTTATACCTGACAGCCCACCAGGCGTCTCCCGCCGCCCCAGAAAAAAGATCGTCCGGTCCCAAGTGACTGGCTTACATGTTCCGGGTTATTTAAATGTAAGGATGAGGCTAGGGCCTCATGTACTAACTTCGGATGGAGGCGAACATCCATTGGGAAAGAGCCAGGCGGGGGTGGGCAGGGCGGCCTACTTACAGGATTCTCTCCAAGGCTGTTTGTACAACATTGGAAGGAGACATCCTATATAATAAAAAGCTAATATGCAAATTGTCCCCTCGACTGTGAGTTCAACCGGGAGTTCGACCAGGGGGTGGGGCGGCCAACTGCCCGTGGCCCCTCCCCCCTGCCAGCCTGGTGGACCCCACCCACACACGAATTCGTGCACCGGGCCTCTAGTTCTATGAATAACACAGAGACGAGAGCTGTGAACAACACCGGGCCAGGGACCAGGTCACTTCCCGGGCCAGGAATGTAATTCGCTCTGACTGAAAGGGCATCTCACGCTTTGGAACAAATTGTAAGCCCTGGCTCAGAGGAGAGGGGTGAATGCCTTCACCTCCCCGTGGTCCCCGGGCAAGAGCTGGTGGCCTCGCTGGTTTGGAAAGGTGGGGACGCTCTCCATTAAGGCCTTGGCTGGTTGTCCTGCTGCGTGAGGTGGCACCGTCCGGGCTGCCCCATCACGAGGCCATGTCCCCTCTGCTCTGCTGCGAGCAAGGAGGCTCCAACAACACACTCAACAGAAATACCGGGGGGTGGGGGTGGGGGGGCATGTGGGACCAGCGCTGGCGAGCCTGCCCTCGCTCAGCTGGCCCTCCGCCCCAGAGCAGGGCTCGGAGTTCTGCACGCCCACCCCAGGGGCCCTGCCACCCTCGGGCAGTGCCCCGCCCACTTTGAGTTTCTTCTCCACTCGGTTTTGGGGGCTCCTCTGGCTGTGGAGGAGGAAGGGCCATCCCTGCGCTGGGCCCCCTGACCCATCCTGGGTGCGCTGGCTCTCCGTCCTCACCTCCAGAGTAGGACCCACACGGCTGCTCAGGAGGCTGCTCCGACGGCCCGTGGCAGTTTCTAGAAGGTTGTCCGCCAGTGCCCGTGCCAGGAGGGGAGAGGGGTGAGGGGCCTGGTCGGGAGCCTGTCATTCCCGATGGTTGCACTCGTGTTGGGGAATATAGAAATTTCTCGGGGTCGGAAGCGCATCGCTGGGACCCCTGTGTGAAGGTCACCGTGATGGTGGTGTCCTGGGCCCCTGGTCCCGCAAAGCAGGTGCTGCCCATCGTGGCTGCGCCTCCAGGTGCCTGTCCTCTGTGGGGTTTGTCAGGGTTGGGCGGTGTCTGAACCCAGGGTCACATAGCTCCGTGGGGTGGGCCCCAGCCGCACCCGTGGGTGTGAACGGGGGTCAGCACAGTCATCGTGGGCTGGGGAGGCCCGAGGCCGTCTCCCGGGAGCAGAGCTGCAGGAGAAGGGCGGCCTCAGGGCGGGTCGGCTCCTGCCTCTCACCTCCGAGCAGGCTCCTGGGACCTCGCTGTGTTCCATGCTGACCATCGCCTCAGGCAGCAGGAGGATGCTGCCCAGACCATTAGGGTCCCCACCTCTGACACACCTTCTCTTTTTATTTAATTTAAAAACCATCTTTATTGATTTCAGAGAGGAAGGGAGAGGGAGAGAGAGAAACATCAGTGATGACAGAGAATCATTGATCGGCTGCCTCCTGTGCACCCCACACTGGGGATGGAGCCAGCAACCCAGGCCTGTGCCCTGACCGGGAATTGAACCCTGACCTCCTGGTTCACAGGTCAGTGCTCAACCGCTAAGCCACGCCGGCCGGGCCATGGCTCACCTTTTTCATCCTTCACTTTCCAGTTCCTCCTGCTCAGGACTCTGTTTTCAGCTCAAACCTCTGTCCTTGCGGAGAGTGTGGGAGAAGGTTTGGAAAAGGCAGGTGTGCCCGCGCCGGGAGGAGGGTGGGCGGTCCGCGGAGTCCGGAGTCCTGTCCCTGTGGTCCGCACGACGTCCCCCTCCCCGCGGTCCCGGGAGGACTCCTGACCCCCTCCCTCTGCGGCAGGTGGAGCTCACGGGCAACAGCATCTATGAGTACATCCACCCGTCCGACCAC